TTGAGTTCATTCCCACCAGAGCTTCCGCATTTTTTGGCCGTTTTATTCCCCGATTGACCAGACGCTCATCGTCCCAAAAGCGTGATTGAATGCAATCGGGAAATAAAACGGCCAAAAAATGCGGAAGCTCTGGTGGGAATGAACTCAAACGAACAGAAGAAATTCGGTGAATTTGTTGTGCAGTGTTTCAATGGCAAAGCCATCCGTACGGATCATGTGGAGCACGGATCATATATGCAAAGTAATGCACCACGCTCGCTTAAATGTTTTGTTGATGGCTGCGGCAAATCTTTCACATGCATGAATAATTTGAGAGCACATAAATCTCGTTCACACAACAAGAAGAAATAAATGAAAGAGGTCGGAAGTGCGGCAATGAAATCAGAAATCTTTCCATTATTATTATTTGTTCACACCCATATGGTAAAAAATTAAATCTATGTTCATTAGCAATAAAGTTGAATTCCCAATAAAATAAACAGTCGTTAATATAAAAGATGTGTATTTCGTTTCCGTAGCTACCGTGTATTACGCAGCATACGAGAAGTGAAGGAGATTGAATTGGCCGAAAAATTGGAAATGGGCGATGATGTATTGGAAAAGGCAAAAGAAGAGAATACATTGACGTGGATTCAAAAATGCTTTTTAATGTATCGCGATGGTCATTTTACCGAACAAAATTTAATCGAAGAAATTGACACGATTTTCGTGGGTGGCACTGATACGACAACCGTCACTATTAGCAGTACATTGATTATGTGCGCCATTTTTCCAGAAATTCAAGACAAAATTGTGGTCGAATTACATGAAATTTTCGATACCGTTGATCAACCCGTTACGTATGAAGATTTATCGAAACTAACTTATTTGGAAATGGTGATAAAAGAAACATTACGACATTTTCCAGTTGGACCATTTATTGCACGACGAACGAGCGAAGATTTTCCATTTAAAGGTGGCATCATACCAAAAGATTCATTCATTCTATTGAACATTGCTAAAATGCACAAAAACCCAAAGTATTGGGGTGACAAAGCAAATTCATTTTATCCCGAACACTTTTTACCCGAAAACTTTTCCAAAATGCATCCGTACACATTTTTGGCGTTTAGCGGCGGGCCACGAAATTGTATTGGTATCAAATATGCATGGTATGTGGCCAAAATAATGTTGGCACATTTATTACGACGATATAGATTCACAACCGACTTGAAAATTGAAGATATTCGCACAAAAGTCAACATTATACTTAAAATTGTCAATGAAGAACCAATTAAAGTGGAACGACGAGAATGGTAATGGTGGAGCACAGGAAGAGAGAGAGAGAGAGAGAGAGCAAGAAGAAGAGAAAGAAGAATATATATTGTAAAGGGTGACATTTTATTTTTAGCATTCGGTTTTATCATATAATTTTGAATTGTGCGTTGACGATGTAAATAAAGGTTCTTATACGAATTTAATCGAAATAAAAACAGTAGATTATCCTGAGTTTTTGAATATGAGTTTAAGGTGTCGCGCCTCTGTTTCAAATTAAATGGTTTTTTTTTTTTCAATTTTTCGTAACTAGACCCACTTAAAATTCGAGAGCGTAGTTCCGAACTCTGGTCCTCAGAAACTCTATGAGTGTCTTCTGTCGTGTTTTATAGTACACATTTTTACTTCTTCTTTCAAATCTTTCTACTATGATTTTAATTATTATATATAATCGATAATTACAGCTAAAACCAGTTATAATGAATGAGCTTCCGATCGGATAATATAAATGGTTAACGCGTTCAAATGTTAATGTTCATTAGTAATTATAGGTCTTATTCATAATTGCCACTTAAATACTGATGCAAATTAAAAACTCCATGTTTTTTTCACACTAAACACGATATAAATAAAATGAATTGACTAGGCTCCAATTATTTTTACATTTGCTTATAAAAACAACATGACATTCGTTATTTATTATTGTTTCGGCCTTTTGACGATATTATCTCTGCTGCTGCTGCTGCATTCTATGTAATTGTATGTGCAATGTGTAATTAGGGACATAACGCTAGTACTATTGACGAAGCGATGCAGTTAGATCTGATCAAAGTAGTTTTAGTTCCCGAAATTCGAGTTGATCAATGTCGTCCAGGAAGAATTTAAATCGGAACACTTCATAGGAGAAAAGTCTACGCAAAAATCTACTTGCATGGAATGTGATTTATAATTGTGATCATATGGTAAGTTGTTTAACGGAAATTGAAACATATTAATTCGCTTTTCTTAAATATTTGAAAATTAAATAGTATTGATTGTAAAATACTTATAAAAAATCAACTAAAACATATTTATATAAAATGTAAAATTTAAAGACATGTGCCGAATTTATAATGTTTGGAGGAATACACTGTTTACAGCACCACATTAACATAAGTGGCAAATGCAAATCAAACATTATAGATTCCATAAATTATTCGGCAGTGGTCTTTAAAACAGTCTTGATGACTGACTTGTATCAGGAATGAACTATCAGTCTATAGAATGGCAGCGAACGGTATGGCGGTATAGATTCTATTCAATACACAGGTTGAAAAAAAAAAACAAAACAGTTGAAAAAAATTCGTATGAATAAATAATGTTATTAATATATAAATTTAAACATAAGAGTTTCTTGTCCACTACACTATTTCGACTATAAATGATCGCGATCGAAACTCAACCGATCACAGCGAGTTCGTATCTCAAGCGTTGTGCACTTTCAATTTTTGCGTCTAGAATTTGCAAACATTTTATATTCTTTCTTTTTGAACATTTTAAAGTCAGGTATACTTTCCGAGCGTTTTCTTCGTCGTATTGCTTAAGTTGTAATATAGTATTCACATTTTTCCTATTTTACAACGATACGGAGCTATTTTTTTAATCATTATATGGGTAGAAGAACAACTTTTTGTATAAGCTCGTTTGTTAATATTGTGTGACAAGTTTAAATAAATGTACTTGTAATGAATGCCGGAACATTTCCCAAAAATTAGGGAGTAAGACGAACTTTTCTGCACGGTGGTATATGCGTATTTTATCAAGCTATATATATTCGGCATCGAAATATTCTTTAATTTAATAGCAGAAGTACTCGCAAAAGATTTTCAAAAGAAATTTGGATTTTTGTATGGGAGCCATGTCACTATAAATAATTGACACTATAATAATAATAAATAACACTACATAATAATTGAATCTTTTTGTTGCGTCAAGATTTCAACAAACAGTTCGATTACCACAACTAAATAGTGATGTGTGTCTCTATTCAGCTAAAATCAATTTCGAATAGTTATACTCATTAAATGATTTGGATGGTTGCATTTAATTTAATATATACTTATGCTTTCTTAAACTTCTTCTATAATATAGGAAAATCCAAAATCTAACAACGTTAATTATCTCCATGATAATCCAGTAATTGAAGATTAGGCATTCGAAGATCAGTTTGCTTGATATTTTGGTGACGAAGGACATGTTCAATGAGAAATTGGTGAATTCATCTGGTGAAAGTTAAACACCGGAAAAATCCAAGTCCCAAACATTAGATCATTAGTTTTTGAATTTTGTCCCAATTTCAAGTTGATGAAAATATTCACTAAAATCGCTGAAAATTCTTTCGATTTTATCTTAATTAAATTTGATATGATGGAAGGAAGAATTGCTCCAACATAGACTTCGTTTGTTTGAGTTTATTTACCTGACTATTGTATACGTAGATGTCAAATAGTGTCCAATCATTTTATTTCCAATGCAGAGATAGTTTAATACAATAGGATCAGCGATAATTTGGATTTTTATATGAATAAAATAAAAATGAAAATAATGCTTGATTTAAATAAATTTAAACATAATTTTAGGAGGTTGATGTGAAGTTCATGCATTCTTTTCAATGTATGAGTGTATCTTAATTAAGAAGTAAAACATGGTACATGTTAATTTTTTTCATTTATTAACTTTCATAAATTTTCAATTCAAGAGGACGGTATTATTAATTGTGCCTTAGTCCTCCTTGGTATTCCCATGTTCTCTGAAATAAAAATAAATTTATTAAAAAAAGAGTAATAGAATATGTAAAATGAATATTTGTGCGCTTACGTGTTAATTCTTCAGCTGTTTCAATTGCTGTTTTTCCATTATTGTCCACAATATTAATATCGGCTCCATTTCGTCTCAACATATCGACAACTTTCGCATGACCTTAATTTGAAATCGATATTATATTCGGTGAATTCAGTGATACATTTCATTCTCAAAATTATGAACTACCATGTTCTGATGCCAAATGTAAACATGTTTTGCCGTAATTATTTTTTGCGTTAACATTTGCTCCATTTTTGATTAACAAATCTACAATTTTTTCGCGTCCTAGACAAAAATATCAAAATGAAATGAAATGAATATCTGTGTGTCAGATGCCGTTTAAAATTGTACCATATGCAGCCGCTTGGTGTAAGGCAGTCATGCCTCCAACATCAGCATAATTGATATTTGCCCCATTTTTGACCAGCAGATTTGCAATCTTTTCATAACCTTTATAGGCAGCAAATTGTAAAGGGGTTTCTCCCAAACTATCGGAATTAAAAATTATGTGATTGTTGGTTGTTACTTGAAAAAGGGCACACAAACGAAAAGCAGACAAACATTGCAACGAAACAATGTAAATGTAAAAGTAAATACGCACCTATCTACAGTATTGACGTTTACTTGATTCTGAATCAAAATTTCAACAACTTTCTCATTACCTGAGCAAAAAATATCCATTATTGGGACACTTTTAATCTTTTTGTTCAAACATTGATTTACCATTTTGAACTGCTGTTTGTAATGCGGCTTTCGAATAATTAACATTTGCACCATTTTGAATCAATAAACTGACAATTCGCTCATTTCCTGAAGGATCAATTGAGGTTTTTCATTGGCCATTGAAAAAAAAATTGATAGAAATTACCATTTTCAACAGCAGCGGTAAGCGGGTTAAGTCCGCGACGATTTTCAACATTAAGGTTTTGATTTCTAATCAAATTCCGAACATTTTCAATATTTTCTACAAAAAAATCATGTAAATCATCACTTCACTTGCTATTTACAGTAAGATGTAAAATCCAAAATAGAACCAAATGCGTTACAAACATTGAAATCAAAGGGCGTAGACTGACCTGTTCATTAAGTACCAAACAAAATTTTTACATCTCTTACCAGATTTAATAGCTTCAAAAATTGGTTCAAGATTAATCCTGGTTGCTGAGCATAGATAAATCAGAATACAAATTTATAATATGCGTTCAATTTAATGTAAATTTGCAAGTGGTTTACCTCGAGACGCCAAGGTCAAAGTCACCGCAACACATAAAATCCAAATAATCGTCGAATGCATCTCTTTTTGGATGAATCAATTCAAAATGTTTATTGATATAAAAAAGAATGATGAAGTCACAAATAACTTCACCAACGCTCTTCGATTGATATTAAAAATATTGAGGTTTTAAATTCAATTTCAAAACTATGCAGTGTGTATCAAATCGCAAAAGAATTATTCTGACAGAAGCTTTTGAAATGTTGTCTAGTTTCTTCAGTTGACTATTATTAAAATTTTCACTTGTTTGTGTCGTCGAATAATTCCGATTGATAAGAGAAATGGGATTATCTGTGAATTTGACTTTTGACAAAAAATAACAAACAACCAATGATAATTTGCGAAGAAAAAACTGTGTTTGAAAATAAAAGCATAAATGAAATGTACTGAGTACATTCAAGATGTTTTTGTTCTGAGCTATGTAAAAACAATTTACTTTCAATCATTTTTTATTAAACCCAATTATATTTCGTCTTCGTTTATTTCATTCTCTTTATTCAATCCCGTATGGAAAAAAGTGACTGACTGACTACACACAGAGAAGTAATACAATGAAAACTAGATGACTTGTCGTATAAAATTGTCGTGGACTGTGTGTTTCTACTGTTACATGTACGTTATAATGAACGAGTATAGTAACATGTCGTCGATCAAATAAATTTAAAAATCCGTCCACTCGTGCCGACACCATCTAGGACGGTAGTAGGGATTTCATTGCTGTGGAAGTCATTAACGGTACCAATTAGCTTTGCTAAATGATATCATTTAGCTGCCGAATATTTTTCCGCGGAACTTTTCTACGTCACATTTTTCCTAGGGGCAAATCACGAAAACAAATGCATCATTTTTGAATAAATAT